ACACATTAGAGGAGGCATGGTGAGAGAGGTGGGAGACGTACTCAAAGATAAGGAGGGAGATCAAAGTCAGCGCTCATGCTTGTCTCGGGGTTCTGATGATCTGAGTGCAATCTGAGCCTCCGTCTGTGTGTGTTCGGATAAACACACATGCGATCTTCCTTCTAACGGGCCTCAGTATTGCTTTCCTTTATCCTTCCCTCTTGCTTTACGTGTTGTTTTTTGGGATAAAGGTTAAAGGGCTATTACAAGACTTTAAGGCTCAAGAAACAGACTGCTACAAACTTTGAAGCTTTTTAAATTTGCGCATAAAATAAACTCTATTTTAGTTCGCATTAATCTTCACTTCTATCCTTTAACTTTCTGTAATATCTCCGTCTTTATCGTCCTCTCCTATCTTTCCTCTTTAATTCCTCTTCCTTTTTCTCCTCCTCCTGCTTTGGGATTAACGTTTCTTGCAACCTGGTTGTCCTCGTCTTCTGCTCCTTCTGTCCTTTATGTTTGCTCAATCTGTCCCATCTTCCTCTTCCTCTTCCTGGTTTGACATAAAAGGGATCCATCCAACCTCTCTCTCTCTCTCTCTCTCTCTCTCTCTCTCTCAGGATTAAAGTAAAGGAATTCAGGGATGGATAGACGGCGTCTTTCACCGAGAGGCCCCCGCGGAGGGGTTTCATCCCTCCTTCTCTTATCTTCCCATCCCACCGAGACACACATCCACTATCACTTTACCCTCGTCGTCTTTTAAAAGGACTCTCTACGCATCCTTTATTCCTGCCGCCCTTTTGTTGTCTGTTTGTGTGTGTGTGTGAGAGATAGAGAGACTGAGAGAGACTTTTACATACTATGCAAACAGCTACAATAACAACATTAAAAATAATCTCAGTTAATTCAGCTACTAAATGTCCACGTTGCAATAATAATTTAATTACTCAAATTGACTAATAGATTATCTAAAACAGGTTTCTGATCATCTTGAACTCTGCTGCTGCCTCTGCTGAAATGAATGCTACCTGAACCCAGGTGTGTGTCAGTTTGTGGTAATCTGATTAAACACAACATAGGTGAGTACAATTAAACTCTGACTGGATGAGGAACGTCACACAGAACATGTTGAGCTGACTCGGCTGACAGCTTGACAAAATTAGGAAGTCGTCCCTCCGCCTCTCTGTTTCTGATCGGCACACAGTCCGGCAAAATGAAATAAAACACGTACTCCCTGACTCCTGCGTAACTTGAAATGTGTGTTGACCTAACCACTGCTTGAACACACACCGACCATCCTGTCATCGCTAACGCTGCCCTCTGACCCTCGGGGGGGGGGGGGGGGGGGGGGGCCACCCCC